AGCTCACGCCTGTAATCCCAGCACTTTGGGAGGCCGAGGTGGGCAGATCACTTGAGGTCAGGAGTTCAAGACCAGCCTGGCCAACATGGTGAAACCCCGTCTCTACTAAAAATACAAAAATCAGCTGGGCGTGGTGGCATGTGCTTGTAGTCCCAGCTGCTCCAGAGGATGAGGTGGGAGAATTGCTTGAAGCAAGACTCCATCTCAAAAATGAATAAACAAAATGGAACAAACACACACACACACACACACACACACGCACACACACACACGCACACACGCACACACACACACGAAAAAAACCTCTTCCCTTTTGTGTAGCAAAACAAAGTCCTAGAGTGGTCTATTTTGAAAGACAGGGTTTTGCTTTGTCATTGGGGCTGGAGTGCAGTTGTGTGATCATGGCTCACTGCAGCCTTGAACTCCCAGGCACAAGCAGTCCTCTCACCTCAGCCTCCTGAGTAGCTGGGACTACAGGCACACGCCACCACGCCCGGCTAATTTTTATATTTTTAATAGAGATGGTGTTTCACCATGTTGGTTAGGCTTGTCTCAAACTCCTAACCTCAGGTGATCCACCTGCCTCTGCCTCCCAAAGTGCTGGGATTACAGGTGTGAGTCACTGCGCCCAGCCATTATTATATTTCTTGTACAGGTGGATGGGGTCTTGCCATGTTGTCCAGGCTGGTCTTGAATTTCTGGGCTCAAGAGATCCTCACACCACAGCCTCCCAAAGTGCTGGTATTACAGATATGAGCCACCATGCCTGGCATGAGGGTGCTATTTCTGACCTGAGCATGATGAGTAGTTCTCTTGAATTTTCCAGGTCTTTCTTGCGAAGCCTGCTGCCCACCCTTCTCCTGGTTGGAATTCTCCTCTGTGCTGCCAGGAGGAGCCCGATGGGAGCTGGGCCCAGTGGACGAGGACGGGGCCTCTTCAGTGTTGGTGAGACAACAGCCACGGTCTTAAAGAGCAACATCGATGTGCGGTTCGCAGACGTAGCTGGTTGCGAAGAAGCCAAACTGGAAATTATGGAATTTGTGAATTTCCTGAAGAATCCCAAGCAGTATCAGGACTTAGGAGCAAAAATTCCAAAGGTATTGGTTTTAGAAAACATAGTAATATCCTGAGCTTCAAGTAAAAGCCAGAGATGGCTGTGGGTCACAGTTGCTTCTCACTCATGTTTTATTACTTTATTAGTAATGACATGAAGCAGCAGGTGCAGCCTGCATGAACAGCCTTGGGACCAGATGTAGTGCCCTTTGGAAACCCACTACCCGGCCAGTGGCTAGTGTGTGCAGCCAGACAGCCAGCGCATTGCGGGTGCTGTGGGTCAGGGTGGTGGTTCTGGCTTCTGGGCACCCAAGGCGAGTTTATCTTTTGGTGCCATTTTGGGGTCATGACTCTTTGTGGGGGCCTGACAGAAGCTGTGGCCTTTTTTTCCGAGAAATACTTGAATTCACAGAAACTCAATTCACAGACCCTTCAAGTCGTCTCTGGGCTTTGACCAGGCTGAGGACAGCCAGATCTTGGCGGTGGCCTTGTCCACCCCCCGCAAGCCCCTCTCCATGGGGTGGTATTCACTGGGACGTTTGTTCCAGACAACAGATAATTCTTACACCAAGCACTGTGAACCTAGGCGAAGCCAGGAGGTCACAGACTTCTGTTCTACCTTGGTGAGCACGAGGCGGGAAGCTGGTGTGTGTGACGTGTGACGGACCTGCAGAGCTGGGGCCTCCTGCTCGTGGTGGAGCCCTGCTGGCAGCTGCCACTCACCTCTGCTCATAGTCAGGCACTGCAGTGGGTGTTCTCTTTGCCTTTCAGAATTTTTTTTTTTTTTTGAGACAGAGTCTTGTTCTGTTGCCCAGGCTGGAGTGCAGTGGTGCGATCTCGGCTCACTGCATCCTCCACCTCCTGGGTTCAAGTGATTCTCCTGCTTCGGTCTCCTGAGTGGTTGGGATTATAGGTGCATGTCACCAAGCCTTGCTAATTTTTATAATTTTAGTAGAGATGGGGTTTTACCATGTTGGCCAGGATGGTCTTGATCTCCTGACCTCAGGTGACCCGCCTCAGCCTCCCAAAGTACTGGGATTACAGGTGTGAGCCACTGCACCCATTTTTTTGTTTGTTTGTTTTTAAATTTATATCTATTACATTTTTTTTCATATGCATATATTTGCTGGGGAAAATCTGTGTAATTGAGGGAGTGTGTGAGGCAGTCAGGTGCCAGGGAAGGCCCCTCACGTGGTGTGTTGGCCCCTCTCTCCCAGTAGGCATGGGCTTTTGTTGCGAGAGGGGGCTCTGTCAGCCGGTGTCATGTCACAGGCCTTGGGCTGTGCTGTGGATGTCAGGAAAGAGTTAGTGGGGTCAGGATTCATCTGGCTTTCCATTTCTCGGGTATGAAGTACAGTGATTTCCCAAAATCACCACTGCCTGTGGCATCCCCCTGTGAGAATCCACCATGAAGAGTGGCTGTGTGTGTGGTCACGGTGGGCGAATTTCCTGGAGCACCTGAGTGGGATGGAGTGTGCGTGGGCGAGTCCAGCCTCCTTCTGCCTGCGGCATGTTCTTAGCTCAGCAGGGGTGGTACAAGAGACTTGGTGTCCTGCTGTAGTGTGTCACGACTGTCCACAGCGGGCTGACGTGTGTCAGGCCCCACCCTGCCACGGAAGAGCGGTGCTGGGTTATGGGCTCCAACGCCGGCATTGGTTTGACTTTTGTGGCCTCTCTCACCTTTATGTCTTTTGTTTTCTTCTTAAACACTTAAGAAAAATCCCCAGAAGCCTTAGGATCGCTTTTGAGATAGTCAGATATTGGCCCCCAGCCTTGATTAGAAACAGCAATCCAGGTATGCCTTTTATATCTCCCAATATTCAGGCATGACGATAATCCATAAAAAGGAAACAGATGTGATAGAAGGGCGTGAACTGGTGAAGCCACAGTAGAAATAGGCAGAGAAAACAGTCGGTAAACACCAGCGTCCTCAGTCTTAACAGCTGAGCGGTGGGCGCCTGCAGTCCCAGCTACTTGGGAGGCTGAGGCAGGAGAATCACTTGAACCCAGGAGGCAGAGGTTGCAGTGAGCTGAGATTGCATCACTGTATTTCAGCCTGGCAACAGATTGAGACTCTGTCTCAAAAAAAAAAAAAAATTAAAAAATAAGTAAGTAAGTAAGTAAATAAATAAACATTCAGAACCTTTGATCCAGCAAGTCTACCCCTGGATCTTTTCCTGCAGAAATAACAGACTCATCTGGGTACAGAACACGAAGGGTTTCATTTTCTATATTATCTCTATAATGTTTGACCTTTTTTGTGGTAAATATGCATTAATTTTAAAAGCAACAAAGATTGGCTGGGCGCAGTGGCTCATGCCTGTAATCCCAGCACTTTGGGAGGCTGAGGTGGGTGGATCATGGGGTCAGGAGATGGAGACCATCCTGGCCTTACATGGTGAACCTAGCAGGTGGATGTTGCAGTGAGCCTAGATTGTGCCACTGCACTCCAGCCTGGGCGACAGAGCAAGACTCCATCTCAAAAAAAAAAAAAGCAACAAAGATTAAAAAAAAAAAAATCTCGGAAAATCTCAGGATGGCCAGGTGCTGTGGCTCACGCCTGTAATCCCAGCACTTTGGGAGGCTAAGGCAGGCAGTTCACCTGAGATTGGGAGTTCAAGACCAGCCTGAGCAACATGGAGAAACCTTGTCTCTACTAAAAATACAAAAATTAGCCAGGTGTGGTGGCGCATGCCTGTAATCCTGGCTCCTTGGGAGGCCGAGGCAGGAGAATCACTTGAACCTGGGAGGTAGAACTTGCTGTGAGCCGAGATCGTGCCATTGCACTCCAGCCTGGACAACAAGAGTGAAACTCTGTCTCAGAAAAAAAAATAATAAAAAGAAAAAACTCTTAGGTTATAAGGGTATGCATTTGGTGGGATTCTTCTTAGTCAATCTCAGAAGTCACCTGTGGAGGAAAACAAATTCCTGTGTAGCAGCTGCCCCCCTGCGCAGCCGCTGCCGCCCTGCGTAGTAGCTGCTGTCCTGTTAAGAACCTGCTGTCTTTGTTCTTTTCAGGGAGCCATGCTCACTGGTCCTCCTGGTACAGGCAAGACACTTCTTGCCAAAGCAACTGCAGGGGAGGCCAGTGTGCCCTTCATCACTGTGAATGGGTCGGAGTTCCTGGAAATGTTTGTCGGTGTTGGGCCAGCAAGGGTAGGTGGATGGAACCGCTGCAGGCAGCCTCAGCACCATGGCTTGACCAGGACTGGTCAACTTGAATAGCTCGGTGTGGGGCCCTGGCCGTGGGCACTTGTGGGAGGTGCTGGTGCACCCAGGCAGAATGGGTCAGAGGTTTCCAAGGAGAGGGTGGAGGAGAACCGGCATTCCTGTCTTCTGCCGGTAGCAAAACAGACCCTGTGGATTCAGTTTTCGGGTGCGTGATATGTTCGCAATGGCCCGAAGAAATGCTCCATGTATCTTATTCATTGATGAGATTGATGCGATTGGCAGGAAGCGAGGCCGAGGGCACTTTGGAGGCCAGAGTGAGCCGGAGAACACCCTGAACCAGATGCTGGTGGAGATGGACGGTGCGTGCAAACTGCAGAGCCTGTGGTGTGCACCTCTTCCTCCGTAGCTGCTTGGTGACTGTCTGCACCAGGCTTTTTCTCTAAAGTCGCCCCCAGAAGAGAATCCCTGATTGCTGTGTTTTAAGGAAGGCTTCTCAGGCAAATGTGATGGAGAAAGCTGTGTTAGGTTCACAAGCCTCCTTCAGTGACAGGCAGGGGCGGTGCACTTCCCTGCCCCCAGATGGAAAGGGTTCCTCTGGAGTGGGGAGACAGCTGCCTCTCTGGGGGGGGGATCAGGTAGACAAGCACGGGTGCTCCTGACGGTGCCCACAGGGTGGTGTGCTCACAGCCTGTGCTCCTTCCACTCTGAGCCTTGTCTCACTGCCCCTGCCTCACCCAGAATCTCACAGACTCCCCCAGGCCTGCCTCCTCCCAGAGTGATTCTGGCTGAGATGTGACTGATGGTCACCTGTCAGTCCTGCTAAAGCCTTATTGGGCACGCCCAGGCATCTGTGCCAGCTTTCAGATTTGGGAGAGCTGTCACTTAGACATCTGGCGGATTTGATTTCTCTTTGGCTTTAGGGCAGTGTTCTGGTCCCTGAGACCACCCCCGAAGTGGTGACTTGCTAGAAGTCACAGGACTCAGCTTGTAGTTACACTCATGGCTGTGATTTATTACCGTTAAAGGACACAGCAAAATCAGCCAGGGCAGAAGGCGAATTAGGTCATGGGGAGGCCAGGTGCAGTGTGGAACCTTCCCCAGCAGCAGGCTGTGACCACGCATGCCAGATGTTGACAAGGAAGCCAGGGTGTTTGCTGGGGGCCAGGGCTGTGGCACCCTCTGCCTGGCATGCACCAGGCTTTGCACAAGGGGTTTGGGCACAGGGAGCTGCTGTTCTCAGGGAATGGTGGGAATGCTCCCAAATGACAGTGCCCACACACTGCCCTTGCGAGCAGGCCTTTTTGAAGACAGCAGTCAGGCCTGCTGTGTTAGTAACACTTCTCTACAAGCCAAAAGCATTTCCTAAATATTTTTTTGACTGTAGTACCCAATGGTAATTCTAATTAGATTATGACTTTTGATATCTGGAGGGCACTGATTGGAGAGAGGAGGGAAGTGGGGCACTCAGCTTTTCTCCTCCCTTCCCTCTGCTGGGCACCCATCTCCTGTGTAACCTTTGGCCTGCCCTCATCCTCTCCAGCACCAAGTGGTATCAGAGGCTGCAGGAACCAGTCATAAGTCAGGATGAGGAGAACCCACGCCTTGGGACTTGTCTATGCCTCCTGAGCCAGGCTGTGGGGTTCCCGGTTCGCGGAGGCTGGGCTGGTTACCTGCCATGCACACATCGGGCTTGCCACGTAGTCTCACCTGCTTCTCCTGTGTCCAGGGTTCAATTCAGCCACCAATGTTGTGGTGCTGGCCGGCACCAACCGCCCTGACATCCTGGACCCGGCCCTGATGCGGCCTGGCCGGTTTGACTGCCAGATTTACATTGGTGAGTGCACATTTCTCAGGGTTGGGCCGGTCTCCCCTGGGCTAAAAAGTTTAGTTAGGTCATTTGCAGTGTATTTGGAGGAGATTTTGATGGTAATCCTGAAGCAGTTAATGGAACATTTTGAAAATGTGGAGGCTGGGCGCGGTGGCTCAAGCCTGTAATCCCAGCACTTTGGGAGGCCGAGGCGGGTGGATCACGAGGTCAAGAGATTGAGACCATCCTGGTCAGCACAGTGAAACCCCGTCTCTACTAAAAATACAAAAAATTAGCTGGGCATGGTGGCGCGTGCCTGTAATCCCAGCGACTCAGGAGGCTGAGGCAGGAGAATTGCCTGAACCCAGGAGGNACTCAGGAGGCTGAGGCAGGAGAATTGCCTGAACCCAGGAGGTGGAGGTTGCGGGGAGGCGAGATCGCGCAAATGCAAAAAAAAAAGAAAAAAAAAAAAAAAAATCCATCCCAAAAAAAAAAGAAAAAAAAAAAAAAAAGAAAATGTGGAGATGCTGGCAGTCCAGTTTTTGGGAAGAATCTATGTGGCTGGGCCTGAAGGGATGTTGCTGCAATAGAAACAGGTGGCGGGAGCTTGTGGCAGATACTGGTAATTTAGAAGACAGCAGTTTATCTGTTATTCTTCAGCCTGACAGCCTTCATTGCCTTCCCCTACCCTCTGGTGTTTGTTAGGAAGCATTAATCCCATGTGCCCTGCCCGCGGCAGGCCTTGTGTTGCTTGCTGTCAGGTCACATGGCCCTGGGTTGAGGGTTCAGGAGCTGTGGAGCTAGATGTGCGTGCGCCATGGCTGGTGTCTGCCATTACTTCCCAGCTCTGGCTGGAGGACAACAGCAGAGACCCCCACAGGGATCCCAGCTGTCCTTGCAGTTCTGGGATGTGGCTGTCCTTGGCGTTCTGGGATGTGGCTGTGGTGGTTGTCCCGGCTGTCCTTGGCGTTATGGGATGTGGCTGTGGTGACGGTCCCGGCTGTCCTTGGTGTTCTGGGATGAGGCTGTGGTGGCTGTCCCGGCCGTCCTTGGCGTTCTGGGATGTGGCTGTGGTGACTGCCCCGGCTGTCCTTGGCGTTCTGGGATGTGGCTGTGGTGGCTGTCCCGGCTGTCCCTGGCGTTCTGGGATGAGGCTGTGGTGACGGTCCCGGCTGTCCTTGGCGTTCTGGGATGAGGCTGTGGTGACGGTCCCGGCTGTCCCTGGCGTTCTGGGATGTGGCTGTGGTGACAGTCCCGGCTGTCCCTGGCGTTCTGGGATGTGGCTGTGGTGGCTGTCCCGGCTGTCCTTGGCGTTCTGGGATGAGGCTGTGGTGACGGTCCCGGCTGTCCTTGGCGTTCTGGGATGAGGCTGTGGTGACGGTCCTGGCTGTCCCTGGTGTTCTGGGATGAGGCTGTGGTGACGGTCCTGGCTGTCCTTGCAGTTCTGGGATGAAGCTGTGGTGACAGTCCCGGCTGTCCCTGGCGTTCTGGGATGAGGCTGTGGTGATGGTCCCGGCTGTCCTTGCAGTTCTGGGATGAGGCTGTGGTGGCTGTCGAGGCTGTGGTGGCTGTCCCGGCTGTCCCTGGCGTTCTGGGATGAGGCTGTGGTGACGGTCCCAGCTGTCCTTGCAGTTCTGGGATGTGGCTGTGGTGACGGTCCCGGCTGTCCTTGGCGTTCTTGGATGAGGCTGTGGTGACAGTCCCGGCTGTCCTTGGCGTTCTGGGATGAGGCTGTGGTGACGGTCCCGGCTGTCCTTGGCGTTCTGGGATGAGGCTGTGGTAGCTGCCCCGGCTGTCCTTGCAGTTCTAGGTTGTGGCTGTGGTGGCTGTTCTGAAAGTCCAGAATGCACAAGAGCCCGTGTCTCTTTTTCACTAGGCCCACCTGACATCAAAGGCAGGTCCTCCATCTTTAAGGTTCACCTACGCCCACTGAAGCTGCACGAGAGCCTCAGGAAGGACGCCCTGGCGAGGAAGCTGGCAGTGCTCACCCCAGGCTTCACTGGTGAGTGGTGGGAACCATGTGTGCTCTGCTTCTTGTCATGGGCGCTGGTGACTCACCATTCCATTCAGTTCTGGCATCGCTCACCCTTGTCTGTAGGACTTTTCACCTGTTGAGAGTGTTCAGCGACCTCAGATCATTTTTCTTAGCCCCAAAACTAATTTGGACCCATTTGAATTTGTTTAGTTATATTCAGACTTAGTGAGTCTTACTGCAGAGCTGACGGGAACGTCCCAGAGAGAATCTGCCAGCGTGATGCTTCCTGAGCTGTTTCCGCCTGGGGCTTGGCCTCCCTGCTGGGGAAGCCTATTTGATTTTCTCTCGTCTTTTTAATGAAAGCTCAGTCTATGCTAGGAAACCTGCTTCCCTGCTGGGCAGGATCACCCTCAGGAATGAGTGGGGACTTTTCCAGGGGGATTCCTGTCCTCCTCTCCCCTGCTCTGCAGCTGTGTTCTGCCTCAGTACCTCATGGTTATGTGGCCATTGGCCACGGGCTCCGACCTGCACCCCATATGCTCCTTCTATGCCTGGAATATTCTGCTGTGGTGTCTCATCCCCTCCAGCTGCCTTGGCGTCCCTGGTGGTACCTGTCCCCTGGGCCCCCCACAGTGTCCTGTCTAGTGTGGGGTCTGGTATATTCACACACAGAATTGCACGTTTGTCTGCTGCAGAATGGTGAGTGAGAAGCTCTTGCCTGGCAGCCATATGAAGTGTGTCATCTGTCTTAGACACAAAATGTGCTTCCTCTCTTTTGTTGTCCTCTCTGGCTGACTTCAGATGTCTATTTACATACCAAAGATAAGAAGCTGGAATGCTACCAAGACTGCTTTCTTCTGCCCGTAGAGGGGGATGACTCAGCAGCGATGACTCTGACTCAGCAGCGATGACTCTGACTCAGCACTTCCCCTCAGCAGAGATGACTCAGGAATGACTCTGATGACTCTGACTGCAGGGATGACTCAGCACCGCCCCTCAGCAGGGATGACTCAGCACTGTCCCTCAGCAGGGATGACTTGAGTAGTGATGACAGCACTGTCCCTCAGTAAGGATGACTCAGCAGAGATAACACTGTTCCTCAGCAGGGATTACTCAGCAGCGGTGACATAGCACTGCCCCTTAGCAGGGATGACTCAGCAGAGATGGCAGCACTGTCCCTCAGCAGGGATGACTCAGCAGAGTTGGCAGCACTGTCCCTCAACAGGGATGACCCAGCAGGGATGACTGAGTAGAGATGACAGCACTGTCCCTCAGCAGGGATGACCCAGCAGGGATGACTGAGTAGAGATGACAGCACTGTCTCTCAGCAGGGATGACTCAGCAGGGATGACACACTGTCCCTCAGCAGAGATGACTGAGTAGAGTTGGCAGCACTGTCCCTCAGCAGGGATGACTCAGCAGAGATGACACACTGTCCCTCAGCAGGGATGACTCAGCAGAGTTGGCAGCACTGTCCCTCAGCAGGGATGACTCAGCAGAGTTGGCAGCACTGTCCCTCAACAGGGATGACTCAGCAGGGATGACTGAGTAGAGATGACAGCACTGTCCCTCAGCAGGGATGACTCAGCAGAGATGACAGCACTGCCCCTCAGCAGGGATGACTCAGCAGAGTTGGCAGTACTGTCCCTCAACAGGGATGACTCAGCAGGGATGACTAAGTAGAGATGACAGCACTGTCCCTCAGCAGGGATGACCCAGCAGGGATGACA